ATCATCGACTTGACCGCAGTTTGATGAGTTGACAGCACAATCGCATATACACAGGATACGAAATATCAAATCCAATTAAAGTTGGGTATTGTTTGCTGTATCCTTGTCAACTCGGACAATAGCACCACATGGCAATACTTGATAGCAATGTAGACTGTTTTGGTGCTGTGAGATGCAATGATACAACGAGTTTCAGGACCCATTCCAATATGATGCAGCATATTGCAGACAAACAGTTCATTTGTATCTGGTTGTCTGATAGCTTTTACATTGTATTGTGTGGGTCTGTACTGACGAGTCTTGATGTAGCAACAAACAGTCAGTTGTTGTTGACATTCCAAGCGAATCTGGTCTGGATTCCGTTTTTCTTTGGAGATAATGAGACCTCGACAACTGGTCAATGTCAGCCTTGCAGTGTTGAATGACAGTATTGATTGACAGCAGTTTGAATCGGTTCCGTATTTCCATCCAGATACTGTGATATTGGCAAGAAGGATCTTGCAGAGTTGTTGGTTGTTGATGGACAAGTTGGATATAAAGTTGTTTTCAATCAATCCGTTGACAATCATGATAGCATACTTTGATTTGTATGTACGCAATACTGCTGTCATTTTGTGTATGGTGTTTTCTATTTCCACAAACGCATTCCATTTCCAGCTGTTTCCTTTGCAGACATTTGATGTTGTGTAACAATGAGGGTGTAAAATGTAGTACAGAAATAGACGACTAAATTACATTTATTCCAACGGATTTAGCACTCTTGTTCAAGTAAAACAGTATCATCCGATGCTCACTATACACTACTTGTACGTTGAATCATGCCAATTACTTGCTATTTTAACAAGCATGGAATATCACGGCACATATTGATGACCAACTAATAGTCGAGTGTCAACTCATTGCAGTCTCAGTTTATACTCATTTCTTAACCCTAACCCTTTTGAGAGTGAAGCTTTATAATCAACCACATGATATTCGAATGTATGATCAAATAGCGGCTCAACCAACATTGCGGATATCATATAAAGGGAGACTCTTCAAAGTTTGACGTTGACAACAAATCACCATTCAACCCTGACATGAACACTAACCCTTAGGACGGCTACCCAAAAACATGCTTTTAATATTATCCACTCAATAACCGACATAAATACAATCCAAAACTTGACCTGTTGAATAACATTACAACTTGCTCAACCAAACCAGTAGAATGAAACTCGCAGTTATTGTATTGTCATCAATCTTGCTTGCATGCTCAGTTACTATTGCCAATCCAATTCTTCCCAGTGCAACTACAAGCACCGAGTCTATCATCTCGCCAACTCATAATCCAAACGGTATAGGCTTAGGTGGTCTTGATCCAATTCCAAACATCATCAAGGATTTGCTCAAGGAGTACATAGAGCTAGAACATGGTCGTGATGAACAAGAAAAACTATATGGCTCGTTAAAACCTCAATATGACCATCAACATAAACTGGTAAAGCGCTTGAAAAAAAAATTCAAGTTTTGGGATATATATCTCAAACAAGCGGTGACGGTCCAGAATATAATGTTGAAATTCGAAAGAATAAGCTTGATTTTGAAATCCAAAAATCCAAACTTGCCAATCTTAAAAAAAGTCTTCAAGGCTGCGAGTCCAAGTATAGTTATCTTACAGTTAAAGTAGAGCAAATCAATGTAGAGCTTGTGGATCTCATTTTTGGAGAATCTTGGAATCCTAAATTATTTGGTCGCAAACTTTATGATATCAACTCAAATCCTTTCATTAGAAGTTACCTTGAAAAACAATCATTAAAATACAACAACAGCTGGTGTCGAACACCTAGTGATCAGCAACAGCGCATAAAACCTAGTGATCAACAAAGTCAAGATTCACAACCATCACCGGATACACCATCTGAATCTGGATCTGGATCTGGATACTTTGAACAGAGAGTTCCTTCCAATAAACGGAAAGGTTTTTCCAAGTTTATGAATGGATTGAAATCACTCTTTCAGCGATCCAAAAATGACGATTCATCCAATTGATTTGAATGCTAATCTGGACTTGTTCCAACCGATTTAATTGTCATTCTACAACTGTATTTCTGATTTAATTTACAATAAAATTGTATGTGCATGCATTATATCTGATTATTGTACACAGTCTTGGTTGGTATCATATCATATTGTACATTGACACTTGTATTTCCAATACAATACAATACAGTTGATTGTATATTGCATAGTTGTACACATTGATGATACTGACATGCATGTGTGTATCGTGTCAATATGATATTGCTTGTCATGTCGTATTGACACATGCAACACCAATACCAACAACAGTCATGTGTGTTGATATCAGATCTGACTGGTTTGACTCGTTGATTGTGGTGTCAAAATGGTTGCATCAATAGCTTGACTGATCACACACATCAGTCGCAGTATCAACTTTGTCGTGTGTCGAGTATCACATGTTGAATATACAATGCCAACAATATGGTCATTATACACATGTTGATGTATGCAGTGGTCGTATACTGGTCGATTGGTGCAATATGATCAGGCATGCTAATGGAATGTGATAATCATGATATTTGCAGCAGTATACCATATTCCAACAGTTGATATTGCGCATCCAGTATCGACATGATCATCCAGATATACAGTGATGGATTCCAACAATGCATACCATGATTGATACACTTGGAATGTGTATTCAATCAATACCATGTATTGCCAATACAATAGTATGCGTGATCATCGTGTATCAAACAACTACGATACACACTAGACTGATACAATGCATGCACAACTTGAACATATCACACAATCAAACATGAACACACCACATTAAAAATACATATAGTAGCAGTTTTTCACTAATGAATTGTATTCAGTCGAGTTTATTGTGAGTCGTT